CTATAATTTTTTAAAAATTATCTATTAATTATGCTCGTATTTTAAATTTGTTTGCACCTTATAACTGCTATTTGACAGTACCTGCTACAGTAATATTCATGGAAATATTGACAATTTTCCAATTTCACTGGAAGTTGCCAGTTAATGAGATCTGTTTACAACACATGGTTTCTTTCTACAGAAATGAGAGTGTTAAGAGATTTACAGGGGATCACAAGTTTTTCCCCTAGAGGAAGCTGAATCCCAAACACATGAAGTAAAAGCAGTAGGCAGATATCAAGTAGGCAGGGACAAGTGTACTCCATAAAGCTCTGGGACAAATTCATCCAGAAATCTCCTTTTGGCTGGCTGTAAGTGCTTTTCCATGGGATGCAGCTAGTGAACTTATGTTGATGCACTAAAAATCTCCACAAGAACGGTGTTTTACCACAGAGGACACACACTATTGAGTATTATCCTAAAGGGTAGATTAATTAATTCAGCTTCAGGATTTTAGCTGTAATGTGACACAGTACTGTCGTGTGAGGCAATGCCACCCCAGGGCACAGCTGCACCTCTATAGCCTCACGTGTTGCTGCAGGGTGCTGGAGACTCGGAGGGGACAGCCCCAGGAGGAGCCCTTCCTTGCAGAACCACACATGCTGCGAGGGGGAAGCATGAAGGTATTCCTCAGGACAGGAGTTCAGAAATAGGCTGTAGTTTGCTCAGTTTAGCCACTTAAATCTGTCACTGAACCAAGGCATTTAGAAGATGTTGCCTGGGAAGACCTCCACAGAGCTGTGAGGCTAAATCAGTCCAGATCCACCCCAAACTAAAAGTGAAAAACTAGCGTTAGCTTCCAAATATTCAGCTGGGAATGCAACACTGAGTCCTCTAAAGAAATCCCACTGGAGACGACCAAATTTTGATAAACTATGTGTAGTCTGCATAGCAAAAGAAAACACAGAGTAAGGTCAATTTTAGGTGGCTTATCTGGAGAAAGAACGACAGCCAAAGCACCCTTTAATGCTGGTGGGATAGGGTCTGGGGGAAGTATGATAATATGTTTTAGAGGCAGTGGAAGGTAATCCTTTCATTAGGAACAGGTCAGGAGCCTAGCCAGATGTATTTTCTTTTTTTAATCTCTTAGCACTCTAAGATCCTCTGCGCTCTGCACTAGCCAAAATGACTTGCTCCTGGATGTACCACTCAAACACAGTTCTTTGTTTATCCACTTTATCTCCTTTTACTGACATAATTTTGATGCATGGCTGACCTTGTCTACGCCTCTACTTTGCCCTGTGAAATCTCTTCATTCAATCATTGTCATTAATTTTCCACTCCTGATCTGTCCCACATCAGAACTGTAGTCTGGTGCAAGGTAATCCCCTACGCTGGATTAGAGAACATCCCAAGCAATGCTTTGACAAACAGGAGACAAAATTTCTACTGTTATAGAACACAGGAGAAGAAATGTGCCACAAGAATTTAGTAAAAATGACATCCAAATCTAAAGGCTGGCTCCAAACTACTTAACAGTAATTATTAAAATGACAGCTACTACAGCGCTGCCTATCACAAAATATAATAGTCTAAAAAAATAGTCTATTCCCTCATTATGGCTGTAGTTTGCCCTCAACCTGTGCCTGAATCAAGGGTAATAAAATGTGTTTAGTATTTTGAAAATTTCTGCAAGGCAAAGGCAGGTCTGTAAGTCAACAGTAACGCCAAACCCCTTGCAAAGCACGTTGAGACAAAAGTTGACGGAAGACCTTAAGCCTCTTGGGACAAGAATTACATTCCTAGTTCTGGTTGCTCCTGAGCCTTTGTGGCTCTTTTCCAGGTCAGAGGGAGCATGAGGCACTCCTAATAGGCCACATGGGAGCAGCATAGCGCACATCCCATCAGTGGATATGAGACTCAGCTGGAGTACTGATACTCTGACTTCATGGGGTGGTCTTAAACCTTCACAGTAAAGCCAGAGCCCAAAGTAGCCTGAAGTAGTTTTAACTCACCTGGCAAACAGAGGGTGAGCTTTTGTATAACCCCTCAAACTTTAGGCCAACTGCAAAGCAGCAAACAAACGAACCTGTGGCTCTGAGGCTAGTAGCAGCTCTGTTGAAATGATACCTCAGTTTTAATAGTACTTGAAGCACAAGTGCCTACCAACATAAGGTACAACTCCTCCTGTACTCAGCAGGAGTTGTTGTAATTTGTTGGATTGTAAAACATAGTTTATAAGTTTGATTTCAAGAGCAAGGAAAATACTTGCAGTGCACAATTAATTGCCTTCTTGAGTGAAAGTGATGATGATACTTTCACTTCCAAGTCCTGAAGTCTTTTTCTTTTACAAGAAAGTAGAGAAGGGAACAGAGTTATCAAAATAAACATTCTTAAATCAAAGGAACTCTTCTTCACTTTGCCCTGAGGATGCTCCCAGTGAAATGACTTCTTAGGCTGCGCTATTCCTCATAGTGTCTGGTAGTACAAGATATTCCCTTTTCTGACCTATTTTGTCCATTCTGATTCTTTCAGAGTTGCTTTGCAATTACAACATTAACAATTAACTGTGTATGTTTAGGCTATGTCTGCACAGCACCATTCTGTGCCACAGGGGGATACATGAGCCGGCAACAAGCGCATCGTCTCCCAAACCAGAAACACTGGAACAATAGTACAACATTTCACCAAATTAACATACTACTGCTGTGAGAAGTGAGTGACCGTCAAGGTGCTTGACATGGTGCCCTGCAGATCCGTATTTTGACACTGATGTAAGCTATATTGCGAACATTACACCTCCTACATTCAGTTGATGCTCTCCTACTGTTAATGTATTTTCTACCCCTGATTGTGCATTTTAATCAAAGGATTTCAGATTATATCAAGCCAGAAGGGACCTCAGGAGGTCTCAGTGGCTGCTGCTGAAGTTTTTCTGTTCTGTCTTCTACCAAAAGGCCCAAAACTTGGATGCTATATTCTAGATGGGTCTTAAAGAGTGCTGAGTAAAGGGGGATAGTAATTTCCCTCAATCTGTTGGCTATGCTCCTGTTAATACAGCCCAAATTACTACACCCAAATAAACGTTACATAAAAAAAGTCACCCAACCTTAAACTACAAATGGTCAATGATTTTTAGACTGTTTTGATTACCAATGACAGATTATGTCATTTTCAGCTTATTTTTTCTACTAGTTTTGGAACAGAATTCACATAGAAAGGATATTTTCTTCTCTGTTCTGTCACCGTCTAGAGTAAATGTCATTTTTTGGTTCATTGCTGTTCTTCTAAACTTAGGATTTGGGTGCTCTTTGGGATCACTGAAATTCAATGCAGTTATTATTTGAATAAATTCACTTGTCACTTCCACAGCAGACTGTCATTTTCCTTTATTAGTGAAGATGTTCAACTGAGGTTCACCGGTGGCTACCTATGTAGTTGCTCGGGCAGAAATAAAAGTACCACAAGAACACGTTGGAGGGTAGGAGGCAAAGCAGGATCTTGAATCTGGGTCTGTTGTCTTCAGCAGAATACTCCAGTCACAGAATTTTTGACTGCTTGGGCATTTCCTCTTTCTCTTCCTCTGCTCTTTGCCTCTCCATCTTCCCCAATAACAATCCCTATCTGTGAATTAATATGTATGCATCTCAATGTCCTCTACGGATTAATATTTCTCCTGTCAGATCTTCTGCAAAGATCTTCCAGTTGGATATTATATTCAATAAAGTGAAAACTCAAAGTCCCAACAGGCTAATTATCCATGGTTTTGTTACAATATTAATTCCGGCAATCATGGAATTTTAAAATTCAGCTGAGGTAATGTGAAAAGCAACTCTTTTAATAATTGCATGATCATGAAATACTGCAAAGAAGTTTTCTGAGATCATTTGCTGTTGTGAGATATCACTTTCCCAGTACTCTCTGAGTTGTTTTTCTGTTATGAATATAGAAGAGCATAAAGTCGAAATTCTGATTTTATTTCCTCAGGAACCAGTTCTGGGCAGAAGAACAGTTCCTTCAAAATATGTTTTGAATGCAGGGAAAGGACTGCGTTAGGCTGCAACTTGCAAAATGACAAATATTCTCACTTGTCTTGTTTTTTCAGCAGTGGTTAGCATTCGTAATTTCAGATGGATTTGGTAGGAGTTGTGGCTGTCTCTCAACATAAAGCCTTTCATGTTTCCTCCTTCCAGTGGGCTCAGTTCTCTGTTGATTAAATGCCATTTGAAACACCCAAAGGTGTCCCTGTGCCTGCAGCTGCCTCTACCAAAGGGTCTGAGTCTTCTGTAGGTCCTATGTCACACCTGACTGACCTGTCCCTAGATGCACCCAGGACGTCTCAAATGGCACCAGATGCCTATATTAAAGTAATAAAGTTGAGCCCTAGCAAACATGATTTTTCTGGACAGAAAGTGAGCTACAATTATTAAGGGCAGATCCTGCCACTATATACATCATCTCCCTATAGTCACTCGTAACTTCTACATTATCTATACACCAATCAGGTAAAAAGTCAACCTCTCTGTGCCTGTGTCTAACCAGTTTTCCCATTTTCCAGTTGCTTTGCAGTGCCTAACTGGACAGCTGCTGTCATGGATTTTGCCATAATCTAAGCTTTTATTTCAACTTCCTGAACTTCATCTTGATTACAAAAAAAACCCCAAACGAACAACCAAGCCACAATTTTATTGCGTGTGGGGGAATTGTTTATTCACATAACCCTATTAGTTACCTGCAGAGCGTCTCTTTGGGATATACAGAGTGAATTTACTTTGTGGGTGAATCCTGTTGTACTCTGACAACCAAATGAGTGTGTGAAGCACAGAGCCTCAGAGGCCAGAATAACCTTTGGTTTTGTCCAAGACACAACAGACAAACAAAGAGTGCCTCTGGAAGCAACCTTGAGAGTCTCTTCTGTTTTAATTTCTGCAGAGGTTAATTAGCAGATGTTAGGTTTTAATTTATTTTTTTATTTGAGGCAAATTTGGAAAAATATTAACTGAAAAATGTGATTTACTTACTTATTGTGGACCCAGATTCGGGCCTGTTCAGGGAACTGATGATAACAAAGCCAAAGCCTTCATTCTCCTTGCGGTGGATCACCACATCACTGGTTTGCAGGCTGTGAGAAGTGACGCCCTCAGGGGGTGTAGCATTGCTACTAGAGACAGCGTGATTACTGTTAGCATAAGTAGTGTAGTCACTTCTTGGAGAACTGTGGTGCGTAGACACCGAGCCTGGGCTTCTGCCATTCTCTGGGCACGGTTCTCCTACAACATAAATCACACCAGTATTATAGTCTGACTTGCTCAGTGGCTCTGTGACTTACAGTACATTTGCTAATGCAACATGAATACAGTTGACTGTCTATAGCCCAGACTACCACAAGTATTAAACTAGGAGCTGTAATAGATGCAGAGAGACAGGAATCTACACAATTATGCAAAACATTCAAGGGCAATCAGACAAAGCAAGCATGAACACTGACTGCTAAGCTATCTACAAGAGCAGAAAGGAAAGTAGGAAACAGTGGTTATGTGAATTGTAAAAACATTAGCAAGCACTATTCCCTTGTCTGCTGGTTGATCTGTCATCAAGAGGAAAATGTGACTGTCTAATCCAATAAAAAATTATTTGTGTTTGGATTAAAAGAATTTAAGCAGGCAGCTAACATAGAGTAATTAGGATTAGCCGCATAATGTTCTTCTTACAAGTTGATTAGCATGCTTAAAAGATGTTCATGGAACAAAGAAGTTATACAATGAAAAATAATCACAAATTGTTTTTCTTTGGATGTCATGACAGAAGCAGTGGTCATTTAAAGGCTTTGAAGATGCTTTTGTGTGGTAAGTTTGAAAGGGCAGAAATGAAAATGGAATCCATCCACACTTCAGTATTGCTTTATAGTAACAAGAACAAGGAACAAGTTAAATCTTGTGGGATTACGCACTTTTTTAGTACAAGCATTTTGGTAATTGAAAACAGCAAAGTTACACTTCCAGATGGGAAAAAAGATTTATATTCCCTGCAGATCTAAGTTGTTTACACAAATCAGCATTTATTGACAGTTTTAATTCAGAACTTTCAGATGAATGTAAGTAATATGTTTTCTGGTTGGAGCAATGAGAGTGGCAGAGTCATTCTACTGAACATGTGAAGAGCTTACGCATACACACATACATCCTAGGAAGCAAGCTTGCAAATTAGACCTTCAGTGTGTATATATTAATAAAATAAACATCATCCAAGGACAAGCTGTTGTTTTCTCAGTCAGGTGTGTCCTTTAACAGTCCTTCTGCAACTATGAAATAAAGTGATTAGAGAGAATAAAGAGGAAGAAAAACAAACAATTATTATACTCCTGTATTAGAATTGAAAATCTCCAAGAGTTAGTGAACCAAATCTGCAACTAAATGCCATAGTCAGCGACAAGAGAGATCTCATTTTCTGGCTGTCGTGTTTCAGAAACTTGAATATTGTTTATGTCGGTATGGCTGCAACAGAAAGGAAATTATCTTACACTGCAGAATGACCAAGAGCTGGCTTGGCCATAAAAGAATGGAACTGAGTGCAATTAGGTGTAGGAAAAGAAAGATAAAGGAGGAAAAGTTTAAATGGCTATTTTATTGTCAGCTGTGCAATAGATATTAATCAGAAAAATTACATTTTGCTTCTGCCTGTGAAAAAATTGCATTTTAATCCACGTTGTTCTGAATACCACATTTTGCTTATCAAATTGTTTTCCAGAGCTTGTGAATGGTGATTTTCTGTTCCAAATCTGTGTAAGTATCTGTGCAAAATGGCAACTCCAGACGAGGGCTAAGATATGTACATCAGCTGTCAGGCAGGTAAGGAAAGCCCCAGATCCCTCTGTTGTATACATTCACACTAGTGAGAAATTCACACGCAATCAAACGGCCTGATGTGTTAGTACAGCATTTTTCAGTCAAGCCCAACATAATTAGTTTTAAAATTTTTCCATAAAGCTTATGTTGTAACACACCAAATTAAAATCCTGTTCAGCTCCTGAAATGTTTAAACATTAATGAGTTACACACTATATTCCCCAGTGTGGCACTCTCAAGGCCCAAGAATAACTCCAGGTGTTTTACCAGCTTGCTTCATTTTCTGTGCCAGGAGACCAGAGTGTCTAATAGACCCTTTTATTTAATATTTAACAAGCAGCAGCGAAGGATGGCATCCACTCTGTGCTAACCCTCTTGCTAATTTTGCCTGCAGTCTGTACAGCCGTCTGACCCAGGAAAGGTGCTAATCACAAGCACTCAGCGGAATCGCAAGCACTCGGCGGATTACCTTGGTTATTGGCCATTTTCCTAGCGTTGGGGGAGCTGCGAGGGGGCGTCGCGCCGGGCGGAGGGGGACCTTTCTGGCTGGAGGACTCTGGAGTCAGTAACAGAAGAAAGTCAGTCCCGCGAGAGCGCGGCTGGCAGGGAGCTGCGGTGCCGCAGTGGGAGGGGGACTGCGAAGATGAGGGTGAGTGGGAGGGCGGCTTTTTGGCAGGGGAGCGAAGGGGAATGGTGGAGGCAACGACAGCAGATCTAGAGCACGGGGAGGCAGAAGACAGGACAGGCTGGGAATGTGGTTTTGCTCATTTCTGGTGCGTCAGTGAAGTGTACTCACCACAAGTGTTTTAAAAGTTCTTAAACTTCTCTCCTTGAGTAAGCAAAGGTTGCAATGGAATGGCAGCAAAATCTCTCATTAAAGCTTTAATAGGTGCTGCCACACATTTTTCCAGGTTCCAGTGTTGCTCAATAATTTAGAATGAGCTAGTCTAAAGTTGTAACTTACTTCAAATTCTTCGTATCATTTTAGGTATATTTTCTGAACATGTCTGCTTGAAGGGAGGATCTGGCCCTGTTCCTAGGAGCTGCTTGTGCCATACAGAAGGTTTTCAGCCAGCTTGCATTGCAGTCAGGGGGGAAATTCCAGATGACATCAGTGAGACCAGAAATGGGCTTTTAACACAGAGAAGAGTGAAATGGGTTCCTGCCCTAAACACTTAACAGTCTGAGCCTTTCTCCGATTGCTTATTGACAATCAGATTTAACAGCTTTAACCTAAATGAACGTTTTGTCCTGAAAGTGGACAAGAGGAGACAGCATAGACCAAGACAGCATGGAACAAATCCAGAGCACTCATGATCACCACACTGGGGTTGCCAATATTGCTTCCACTTCTGAATGAAACAATACTTAGTTGTAGTGTTTTTGTCACAGAAACAAAGGATAATTATTCTTTCTTCAAAATGACACACACATTCACTTTGATTTTAATTTTCTCTGTTTTTTTAAACAGCACCTGTTTGTGCTGCCAACACCGAGATCTCTTTTTCCTTTCACCTTTCCGAGCCTTCACTCACCCGTGGGTAGCACCTTTCTTCTCACAGTAAGGTTCACTTGCCCATTTCGGGCAGCGTTATGCATAAGATCAATCACATATCGGTGGGTTTTGCCAGCCACTGGAATCCCATCTACGTACACCAGCTCATCACCAGGATGGAGACGACCATCTCGGTCTGCTGAGCCCATGGCAATTACTGCTCCAATGAGAATCTAGGCAGCAAAGAAACAAAACCCCGTCATATATACACTGAGCCCCCAATTTAGCGTCATCAATGTTGCAGTGATTGTCCCTTTCTTTCAAAATTAAGCTAGCGATTCAGTGCAGGTGAAGAGATCTTTGTGTGTCTCAAAGCTGTGCTCCTCCTGTGCGGGTATGATTGAAGATGCTTCCTTGCCTTTGACAAGAATGTAAGGTGTTTCCTACCTGTGTAGGAGTGATACACCTGAGAATCTACGGATGATCTACCTGATATCTTCAAATCAAGACAATCTGTCTATAAGGAGTGTTTAGTTTATATAGACTACATTATGCAGAAGATCTAAACGATTAATTCCATGTTAAGTGTCCTTTTGACTTAAAATTAGCTAATCTCAATATTTCTTATCGAAGGTTCCTCACTGCTGTTTGATTTAAGCACCTGGAGTAATACACTTGAGGTCAGTAGTGGAAGTGACCCCACTACACAGTTTGCTGTGGAACTCTTTAGAGGAAAAGAAGTAATACATCAAATATTGTTACTCATAATGACTAATTGCTCAGGTAGTGTTTGATTAACAAAATGGAAAAAGAGGAAAAATGTCAGCTTACTCTGGGCAGATGTTGTTTTCCCAAATAGACATTTAAATGTAATTTGTATGGGACATATAAACTGGTAAAAAATCTGTTCAAAACCTTTTAATGACTTTCTCTGCTTTCTATGCACATAAATTCACATAATTTATTAGAAGAAGACATATATATTTTCCCTGTGGAATAACTGGTAGAACAGTTGAGATTGATTCAAACAAAACCTGGTTTCTTTGAAAGAATATTAAAGCATTCACAGAGCGTGTTCCAAATTTTCCTTTCTCTTGTTCAGTATGAGAGTGAGCACAGAATGATGGATATGACACGCCATGTGACAATCCACTTTAAATAAAAGATAAAAGCTATCAAGTATTGCTTTTCATGATGAACTGCAAAATCTAGATGTGGTAGTCATGTAGGTGGTCCTGTGTTTCTTTTGCGGTCTTAGCTGCAGAGTTGCAAGTATCCCAGCAGAGTGTTTAAATGAAACTTCCTGTGGAGTGTGGAGAATTTTCCCCAGTTTCTAGCCTCCCTTTGGCTCACTTTGCTTTCAAATCTTAGCAAAGAAAGAACATGATGCAGCATTTTCCTGCTTCCTGGTGCTCCTGGGATCCTGTTATGCAGTGCCAGGCTGAGTTGTCAGAGCCACTCTTTCAGGTTCTCCATTCTGTTCTTCAAATAGTGAAAGAATATACCTCAAAGCTTTAGAAAATACTTTGTGCAAAATCCAACTATGAATTTATGCTCCTTTACTGGACAGGAAAAAAGCTGTCCAAAGCTAGATCTCCACAAGGTATTCTCAAAGCCTTTACATTTGGGCATTCATATGAGTAAGAATTTTTTCCTAGTTATCTTGGGAAGGGATGGGTGATAATTCTCTACAGCTTGGAAGATTGTAGGGACTGCCTTCCTCCTGTGGTTTTGCTGAGCATTTGCATTTTCTTTATAATTAGCTGCTGAAGTATTGAACAATTTGTGCTTCTTTAACCTTTGGAGAAACACAAATGCAGCTCACAGCATGGTAGTTCATCAGTATCTACAGCAAAGTGCAAAAACTCTTTCTCGTTTTGACTAATTAAGTAATTAATGTTGAAATTTCACATGCCTATAATGGAATGTGGTCATGTAACTCATCTTAGTGGTGGAACTGATTCCTAACATAAGCAGCAGAGTCCTACTTTAAACACTTCAGGTAGGTGTGTTTATCAAGACGATGGCCACCATATCTGTTATTTGGTTATTTAATAGCAAGAATAAATTAATTTTCCTTCGTTTTCATTTCCTGTGTCTGAACTACTTATCCACTATCTGCTCACATTTCATGGCTGATTAGTTTCCATAACAGTTATAAATTCTACAAGCAAAACATAAATTGGAAAAATATTTATCAGGATTATATTACCTCTGTAATGCAGTTTCACACTGGCATGAGATTGCTTTGAATGTGCAAGGAAAAGGATGATGACACGTAGGCAATAAAGAGTGTGTTGTAGAGAAAAAGGAAAATTTCACCTGTTGTTTAAGATTAAACATAAGAAATGCTGGGATTAGGAAGAATATGACAGAGGATAATGTGAAATTGAAGCCTGGGTCTATTAACTCATTCAGGTTAAGCTGTTTTGATACTAAGTTTCTTTGTCATTCTTGGTAATTATTTGACTTTGTGTTTCAGTTTCTCTGAATATAACACAGTAGCTTCACAGGCATGCAGTAAAACTTGAGTAATACACATAAAAGGTGTGAATAATCTCACCTAATTTTAAGTGCCTGTGATGTCTAAATCCAAGATAATCACCTGAACTCTAATCTCTGCTGAAAATAGGAGTTCCTAAAGTGTGGTCTGCACTATCTTAACATTTTGCTGTATGGACATCTGTTATGTCTTAGAAATGTCTGTTTCTTGGCATTGATCATGAAAAGAATATAGACATACATCTTGCAGGCTTTTTTTTTTTTTTTTTTTTTAAGAATCCTAGTCAATCTGTGTTGAAAAGGTGAAACTCTTAGTGTAATTATGTATATGTTCCTGTGATTTTGAGTTTGAGCTGCACAAATGTATCCAAAATACTTCTCCTCATTGGGACAGCAATTTGCAGCTTCAGTAAGGTTCCAATTTATGTCTATTTGCAATCTTACAGTGATATTATAATTCACTGTAATAGTATAATAGAATCAGATTATCTCTAACTCCTCAGGTTACTGGTAAATGTGATAAATACCTGTGGTTGTATTTGAGATTTAAGAGGTTATTGGAACTGGCACAACCCACAGTCCTGATATTTGAAATTTCTCAATAAATTTATGTCTTTCCTTTGAAAAGCATCTTTGTGCTTACAAATATGGAAAGTGGAGTAGTTTAGCAGCACTTTCTCCTTCTAAGGTCCCAGGTAGCTGATATAACCTGAAGGAAACTAAGCTACAGTCTTTCTCTAGTATCAGTATTATCCTTCTAAAAAAAACTTTATGTGGATTCTGCTTCTTTGAAAAACCTGTTGCCATATGCTGAAGAATCCATGTTCCTTTTTAGAAACCAAATAACAAAGAAAAAAGGCAATGAAAGCTTCCTTTCAGCAAAGCTGAAACAAACATTTCAAAGCATCTCAGTTCTTGTTTCTTAGGAAATGTGGGGGTTTGGAGGACAGGCAGAAACTGTCTCGCCTGTTCTGGAAGTGAAAGTAATGGGAGGCTGCAGGTGGGCTGTCCATGGGGGGAGCAGGGAAGCAGTGGATGAGAAAAAAGAGAGTTAAGAAGTTGTAATGGGTCTGCGTGGCAAGGTTTTGGTAGCGGGGCTGTTACAGGGGTGGCTTCTGTATGAAGCTGCTAGAAGTTTCCCCTAGGGCGGGTATAGCAAATGCCAGCCGGCTTTAAGATGGACCCGCTGCTGGCCAAGGCCAAGTCACTCAGCGACAGTGTTTTTCGCCTCTGTGATAA